TGGACATAGAGGGAGCATTCAATCAAACGAAAAAAGAGGTCATAACAAAAGGACTGCTTGAACACAACGTAGAGGCGCCGATAGTAAAATGGATAAACGAAATGCTGACAGACAGAACTGTTGCAACCGTATACGGAGATGCGAGAATAGAGGGCCTAGCCAACAGGGGATGCCCGCAAGGAGGAATTCTATCACCGACCCTCTGGAGTCTGGCGGTTGATTCGCTGCTGGAAAAGCTGAGAACAGAAGGAACGCAAGTATGGGGATACGCAGACGATATAGCGATAATGGTAGCACACGAAAACACGGCAGAAGCAAAAAGACAAATAAACAGAGCACTGAAAACGGTAGAGAACTGGTGCGAAGAAAACGGGCTGTCGGTCAATCCGAGCAAGACAAAACTACTGATAGTCACGAGACGAAAGAGGAGAATGAATACAAGGGGAATTAAACTGAACGGAATACAATTGAACCGAGCAGAGAGCGTCAAATATTTAGGAATAACATTTACCAGCAACCTATCGTGGAAACCGCAGATAAAAGCAACACTGAACAGAGCGAAAAACAATCTCGCGACAATAAACAGAATGGTCGGAAGCACGTGGGGCCTGACCCCGACAGCCAGCCACTGGGTATACAATTCGATAATTCTACCAAGACTAACATTCGGTGCACTGATATGGTGGGAGGGAATCAACAATGAGAAAGACCAGAAACGACTGGAAAGCTTGCAACACACAGGACTCAAAAGAATACTAAGCGCATTCAGATATTCACCAACGAGAGCAATGGAAGCGATGCTCGCGACTCCGACGTTATCGCACAAAATAGAAGAAACAGCGATAAGAACAGCAAAATTGCTCAAGGACTGGAACAAGTGGCAGCCATCGAACAGCGGACACGCCAGCATACTGGAAAGACTGGTCCCAGAGACAGAAACGAATCTAAACATGACGATGGAAGCACCGACCGACAAAGTATCGCTAACATTCAGATTTGGGAAGAGATTCAAAACTCAGATACCAGGAAGGAAAGAGTGGGAAAAAGGAAAACTAAAAGAATACGAAAACTGGATAAAATGGTACACGGACGGCAGCAAAAACGAAGAAGGAGACACTGGATGCGCTTGGATAACAAACGATCCGAATAAAGGCAACAACGTATACCTGGGAAAACACACAACGGTCTATCAGGCAGAAGCAATAGCGATAACAAGATGCGCCGAAGAAATGATCGAAAACGAGACAAAGAATGAATCAATAGTAATATTCACGGACAGCGAATCAACGGTTAAAACCATGGAAAAATCGAGCTTCAAATCAATCGTGGCACTGGAATGCTATCACCGACTGACAAAATTAGCGAAGCAAAACAAAAACGTAGTCCTATGCTGGTGTCCCGGACACAGAGGCATAGAAGGAAACGAAAAAGCAGACCAACTGGCCAAGGAGGCTGTCGAACTAAAAAGAACCGGCACAGAATCATGGACACCTATATCATATGCAAGATTCAAAGCAGAACTGAGGAGCTTCACGCTATCGAGACTAAGAGAGAGATGGTCAGAAACAACAACATGCAGACAAAGCAGACAAATGATAAAACAGATAGACACGACAAGAGCAAAAGAAATATTAAAAATGCACAGATCAGACACGAGAATATTAACGTACATATTAACGGGACACGCGCCCCTCAATTATCACCTATTCAGAATGGGAGTGAAGACGAACGGAGAATGTGACTGCCACACACGAGAAATGCAAACGACAAAACACATACTTCTTCTTTAGGTACTTCCATCACCGTGGGTGTGGCTTCCAACACAAACGTGGTTCTTAGTCAACCTTCTGCACCTGTCGTTCAGAGCTTTCAACTTGGGACCCCACCAGGGCAGTCCCGCGTTGAACCCTTTCTCCTTGCGCGTGATCGCCTCTCTCGCCGCTTCGGTTATCGCGTCCGTCACGTGCTCCACGTAGGCGTCGATCTGCGCCGGAGTCCCGTACTCTCTCGGAGACTCTGCCAACCTTTTCTGGAGAACGTCCAGATAACGTTCCGCGTTGAGCGATCTCTTCTCGCTGACTATCCTCATCGCCGGGATGCCCCCGACCGTCAACGCGAACGAGACGTACCTGTGATCCGACATAGACGTGTCGTCCAATACTCTCCAGTCGGAGAACGCCGAACAGATTCCCAGCGAGACTATCGTCACGTCCAACGTTTCCTCCCTGTACGCGGTGCTGAACGTCGGCACGGAGCCACGATTCAGCCACGTCAATCCGTTCTCGTTCAAGAAGTCGAGCAACCTTGTCCCTCTCTCGTTCGTCACCGTGCTACCCCACAGAACGTGGCACGCGTTCGCATCGGCGCCTATGAGCACGCTCGCTCCGTGTTGCAGGCTCCAGTTCATCAAGGAGTCCAGGATCACCGGGACCGGCTCTCTCTGATCGTGCGGCATGTAC